GACAATTGTCTTTGTAAACAACAATCAGTTGTCTTTAACCCATTAAGCACCAGTCCTCTCCCCTTGACGAGTAAAATTGTATGGGTTAGACAGAGTAAAATAGTCTACATTAGACCAGGGAGTATTCTAAGGTGCAGTGATAACCAATTTGGGCAGCAATAAATTAGATTATTATACATTGTAGTTGGTAAAAGCAATTTGATTGGCTAAGAGCTTACAGTTAAATCGCGCAACCTACACAAAATTCAGTTATCTGCTAGCAGATAACTGAGTTATCTGCAAATGATTAGCAAGCGGTATCTATTTAACACAAACAAAGGAAAACTAGCAAAGCAAAATTTTGAACAAACGTATAAAAAATGTGAATATGGATAAGTTTTCATAAATAAAGTTTTTCATGGGTTTAATACTATGTTTTTTTATTCTTCGAATGTATAATAAAACAATTATTGAATTCGGTTTTTGTGATATGCGGAATTATCAAGGTCGAGGTAAGCGTTACCAGCCAAGCCGAAGGCGAGGCTGATAACGCCTCGCCTAATTTTGCACAACTTCTCTTTCAACTGTCACTGTTGTTTCACTCTCCGTAAAATGGCAGTTTCCTGTGGAGCAATCGTGGACAAGGCATGCTTGATCGATTACATGTTCAGGTGCTATCAAGTTTACTTGTCCAGTTCTTTTAACCTTGGCGCACTGAAAACTTCCCAAGACTTGATTTCCTGATTCATCTTTGCAGAATCTCACTTCTTCAACTGCCACTATTTCTCTGCTGGGATTTGCAATCTTGATACCTTTCTTGAAGATACCAAGATGATGCTGAAATAAAAAAAGGGGATTGGATTAATATTTGGTGGACTTTTTGGTAAGGGCATTGACCCCCCGTTCGAAAGGTTATATTGTGAGGATTTCAATGGTGGCATTTATTTAAAAGGGGGGTAAATACTCGCCGAGATATTTATATTAGAAAAATTGAATCGAAATGTAATACGAAACCGGCCTGTCGAGAAAGAGTTAAAGTAAGTCATGCATGTGTGACGTTCAGTAGGAAGTTAGTCCTAGTTTCATATCATACAAAATGAAATATTTCCAAAACAAAGCAAGAAAACAAAAGTCTGTCAAACAAGTTACGCTACAGTTTTCAATGATCTTTTAAATTAGACTAAAGAATAACACCGTCAATTTTCGAGTCATATGTTCTTTAATTAACCGGGGGGGGGTGGGGGGTGGAGGTGAATAGGTTTTCGGATCGTCGGATTTCACAGAAAAAATTGTCCGGATTTCGGATCTGGCAAATGTTTTACACGGATTTCGGATCTTATTAAAATACAGCAGATTGCGGATTTATCTAATATTTTGGCTCGGATCGCGGATTTCGCTTCAAATTTGGGCAGATCGGCGAATTTGTATACCCCTATTCATCCCCCCTTAACCTGTGCTTTTACTCTTTCCCTACCAAGGGCGTTTCCATTGTTATTGATAAGTAACATCGTGCATTTGGCGGGGAAAGAGTTAAATAAATATCAATACGAAGGAGTGAGGAAACAATATATGCATTTTTTATACTCGCTATCCTGTAGCATGCATCTAAACCATTAGTTGACGTTTAAGTCAAGTATTGTATACCAGGCCAACTTCTAAGTATTAAGTATTTTATTAAAACAGATATTTAAAAATGTCTAGAAATTAACTTACATTACACTTTCTACAAAATTTGTTTGCACAGCTCCCCAAGTGATGTTCGAACTCTGATGCCCGTGGATTGTCTGCCAGCACGCATAAGACAGGGGACTTTACAAGAATCTCTTTATTAAATCGAGCATCGTACATTATTTTACCTTCTTCAAGTTCTGCAACAATTTAACATAAAAGAAACATTAATTACAATTTCAAACAAAGCTGTAATGTCAGGCCTTAAAATATCGGTCGGTCACGGACATTGTCCGACCCATTCATCAAATTGTCCGACGTAGAGAGGAAACCACCGGACATTCTGTCCGACCTAAGTGAAACTGAAGTTTATTGTTTGTCCGACATGAGTGAATTGATGTC